GGCCGTTTCGGCGACGCATGCCTCTCTGTAGCGCACTTTGTGCTGGCGCTTGGAGTAGATGGCATCAGATCCTCCGAAGATCATGAGGCATTCCTCAGGATTGGGAAAGCCATCCCCATCCTTGCCCACCGTGCCTCCTTTCTTAGCTGCTGCCTCCTTGCCCTTTCTGTCTTTTGGCCCGCCGGCCTGTCGCAGAAAGCACTTGAGGAGTTCGTAGTCCTTGTAGAGGTGCTTGACGGGGTAGGTGTGGTTGGTGCATGGACTCTCCATGAGCTTGTTGAAGTGGTCGGGTAGGCCCTGCTGGGGCTGCTTGCCCATGCGATCGGCCACGGCGACCAACGCGGAGTTGGCCGATCGGCGCCGATCCTTCTTGTTCTTTTTGCCCCTCTGCATGGAGGGGCCCTCGTCTTGATCCTCGCGCTTGGCCTTGGCCTTGTCCCGGCCTCTATTAAAGACCGCTCCGACCGCCTCCTCGTCGGAGGCGTGGTTCGTGGCGACGTCGAGCAGGTCGAGGGTGGTTCGGGGCTTCAGACAGCTGAGCTTATGGATCAGGGACTCACAGGTTCTCCCGGAGAGGAACACGCTGATGACGTCTGCGTCGATGACAATAGGAAGGGAGTTGCATCGTTTTAAGAACCTATGGATGTAATCCCATAGGGACTCATTGGGCTCCTGCTGGTAGCTCTTGAGGTCCCAGGAATTCCCAGAACGGACATACGTCCCCTGGAAATTGCCGATGAAGATCCTCTTGAGATCCACCCAGTCGCGGATGCTGTCATGTGGGAGGAATTCGAGCCATGCTCGAACATGTTCCCCCACGTAGATGGGGAGGTATTGAATGATGAAGTGGTTATCATCCACTCCTCTAGCTCGGCAAGCGAGCCAAAAGTCTTCGAGCCATATATCAGGATTTGTCTCCACGGTATATTTGGCGATGTTGGTAGGCGGTCGAAAGCGTTGTGGGAACGGCGCTCTCTAGATGCGTCGACCAAAGGCCCATGGTCCCGGGCCATCTGAGCTGGGACTCCGGTCGTCGGGTCAGCGACCATGCCTGGGGTGTGTTTCACCGCTCCCCTCGATGGTCCGGCTAGGGCCCATCCCGTCTGCTCTCACCGCCCCCTGATCGACGTCATCATCATGCCGGGTCTCGGTTCGGCCCGAGGCGTTCGCGCACAGGTGGTCGGTGTGGAGCGGGCGCCAGGTCAGGCCATGGTGCAGCTGCGGCCTCCTGTTCCGCGCCTGGCGACTGTAGAGGTGAGCGGATGGAGCGATGCGACTGGTGCGCCCGCATTCCCCTGATGGGGAGAGAGGCCACGAGTCGGTGTCATGACGCGGAGCTCTCCGCCTGTTGAACGGCGGTGGTTTCCACCAGCGCTCGGAGGTTCCGGTGGACCGCCTGCTCCTGGGGGTCGACAGGCTCTAGAAGGCCGCGCAAAAGCATTGCCGCAACGGCGATGTTCTGGCTGGCCTGAGCGAACTATGGGGGATCGTTCCCCCATCCATGATGTTGCGCTAGACCTGGTGGGTGTGACCCCGGGTGCCGCTCGCCGTGTTACGCACACGGGGCACAGCGTGCTGTGCCAAGCGCGCCGGCGCAGTTGGTGGTTGGCTCTGCCGCCTTTGTCGTAGCTCCTCTCCGTGCTCCTGCGCACGCGCGAGGGCCTCCACACGAGGGTCTGAAGGGGTGTGAGTCTATAGGCACTCTGCTACCACTGGTGGCTGTCCTAGGGCATCCACCATAGCGCACTCCCAGGACAGAGGGTGGTCGGGTGCCATGACGTCGCCGATGCTGGAGCCGTCGCTCTCAACCTCGTCATCCATGAGGTTGTGGAAAGAGGCGGGAGCATAGCCCGCCATACCCACGAATTCGGATGTGAGAGGGGGTGGCGTCAGCATCTTTCGGAGCCCCCGTGCACGGGGGACGCGAGGCCGTAGGGGAACCGGTTGCATGCCAGTTGCGGCAGGGACAACGGGGTCCCTCCAGAGAATCAGCGGAAGATAGTAAATAGCGAGTAAAGAACAATATGTACGTTACTCATAGTGGGGTTTGAGCCCAGTGTAGGCTCAGAGCAGAGCACAGGCGCCTCATCGTTGAGGTCGCCAGGTGTCCCAGAGCCGACGGAGGGCGCTCCTCCTCCGACAGGCGCCGGGACAAGTGCCTCCTCGTGAAGGCAAAGTACGCCGAGCTGGTCAGCGACGAAGTCTAGGCTTTCGAAGAGGAAGGTCTAGGATGGCTCGAAGACGGGAGGAACCCACATCCTAAAAGGTGGGAGCGCGGGAAACTCCAGCGAGTCAAAGCGAGTCATATCGCTGGAGCCCGCCATGCCGAAGATGGTAGAAAGGTGGGCCATCCGATGACCAAAAGCGTGAACGTACGATGTCTTCCCCACGGATGGCGCCAACTGTCGGTGTGAAAAGTGACCAACTAGTAAATATTTGTCATTTTACCATACGTTGTGATCGGATGTGGCCTAGCACTCAATGACACAGGGTTTATACTGGTTCAGGCAACGTGCCTTATGTCCAGTTTGAATCTGTCGATGACTTTATTCCTGAGCCCGGGTGCTCAAAGTTTGCTGTGGGGTTACAAACGAGTGGGAGTAAGATGGGGGGTGTTAGAGGTCCGGTCGGACTCTGGATCGATGGGCCAAGAGTGATGGGAGCTCCTACGTGCGCTAAGTATTCGAACGTATGCTCTATGTAGCTTCAGAATGTCTAAAGCTAGTAGAGAGTGAGCCGGAATGATCCGTCTATTATCAGTTGTTCGATCGTCTGTCTTTGTTGGGAGACGGCACATCCCCTTTTATAGATGAAGGGGACGACCTTACAAGTGAGAGAGAGAGAGTGTGTGTGTGTGTGCTACCTAGTCTTGTTGCCCACGCCATCGGGTACAAGATGGTTTGTTGGTGCCCACAATACTGTTGACTCCCAGATGCATGTGGTTGGTTCCATCGTGTTCTTTTGTTATGGCAAATGTCGGCGCCTACCATACTGTAGGATAAATGTCGGCACTCACAACACTGTTCGTTGTTCCAACATGTCTAGAAGGTTATAAAGTACCCTTCTAACATGACCTGACAGTACTGTCCTGCAGGTGTGCAGGGTACGGTCCTTGGTATTGCGGTTTGACTTGAGCGTCCTGTCTTACTTGCTCTGCCTGATTCTTTGGGTCCCTACCGAGCGGGCGTCCCCGTTCAGTCGTTTCCCAGTTGGCTCCGACCGCGCCGGTCAGAGAAGAGCTATAAGCAGAGGTTCGGTGTACTCCCGGTCGGAGAAGCAGGTCGGAGTCAGAGGCGAGCGTCGTCCCCTCTTTGGCCAGGCCTTCCGGTCGGAGAGGCGGGTCGGAGTCGGAGGCGAGCGTCGTCCCCTCCTTGGCCAGGCCTTTCGATCGGAGACTGGATTGCTCTTCCGGCCTGTCGTTAGGTATCTGGGCCGGCCTCGGAGTTGCTCGTCGTTCGCAACGTTGTTTGTTGGGCCGAGCTTTTGCTGGGAAGCATGTCCATTAGGGACCCCGGGTTTATGAACCCGACAAATTTCTTTTGATATCTTAGATTTGCATATAAAAATCACCTAATTTATTAGAATTCAGACAAAAGATATACTCCCTCCATCCCACAAATATCATTCTAGCCTTCAAACCTTGTCCCATAAAGAGTGTCGCTGGCCTACCATGTGGGTCACATAGTTAGGTCCCTTGCACCTCGGTCCTCATGATGGGTCGTCCTCATCCACCGCCCTTACCCACTTCACGACCATCTGCATCCACTCCGATCCTCCCCCTCCTAGATATCTTCACCGCTCCCTCCCTCTCATCCTATGGCAGGCAGGAGAAGCGGTCCCCGCGCCCGTGGCTGGCATGGGGCAGCCATAATGACATATAGTTACAGGGGCCTAATTCATATTCAAATTAAGAAGAAATTAAAGCTATGATAGTGGCAACATGAACATCCTAGTATGAGCATGTACAACATGACCAAGGTAGCATGCATATTTCAAAGATAGATAAGAACTATTATTAAATATTGCAATCCTGATATATATATTTTAAAAATGGACAAGTGGTAAATCACCAGATATATAGGAATGGAAAAAATGGAAGAGACAAGAAAGATGACAATAGCTCAAAGCTAGGGTTGGAGTTCATGCTGATGGATATAGTAGACATGCATCGAGAGAAGAAAATTACAATCAAACAAATAAAGAAAACTATTTGGAAATGATTTTCAAATAAAAAAAACCAAATGCTGCAATAAGGAAAGTAGCTACGTGAGCTATTTCCAGGCCAACTTGATAGTTACTTACTGTTTAACTCGACTTCAGTTTTAGGTGAATGTATGTAGGAAACTTTAATGAAGAAAACTTAAAGGAGTGCATCATATATATTTGTAAAGGAAAACTGATATGGTACAAAAGTCAAATAACTCAACTGAAAACAACCTTTAAAAACAAAGATTACAATACAGGACTTTTGGTTATGTTCTTCCTAAGATCGCTTGTGCCACTGGCTGAAAACCTAGGAAATACATCTAAGGGCTTATTTGGAAGATATGGTTTTAAATTACAATATTATAAAACTGTGGTTTTATAAACCAAAGAGATACACAATCGGGGTTTAGAAAAAAGAAGGTCATGTGTGGAATTTCTAAAAGTCCATAAAAACTACAGTTTTGATAAAATCATGGTTTTAGAAACTACATAGTATATTATTTCCAAACACTGAAACACCCAAAGCATTTTAGAAAATCATAATTATTTATTCAATATACTCTGAAAATACTTTGGAACCAAATATAGCCTAAACTAAATGTTGGCAATTGGCATTCCTCAGAATAGTTATGGCCCAACCTAATGGAAACGGACCTTCACCAGACATATGGGCTGATTTTCATGGGCCTGAGGCCCAGTACTGTATCTCTTTCCTAAAACCCTAAACCGCCCAAATCCGCCTCCGCAATTCCGTAGTCCGCAATCCACTCCCTCCTCCGACGAAACCCTAGGCCATGGCTTGGCGCGGCGCCGCCTCCCGCTCCCTCTTCGCCGCCGTCCGTGCCCGCGCCGCATCCTCTTCCTCCTCCGCCGCCTCGCGCCTCCGCTCGGCAGCTCCACTCCCCGCCTCCCAGCGCCGCTCCGTCCCCGTCTTCGCTTTCGCGACCGCGAGGTAAATCGAAATGGTGCCCGACTCCTAGGTCGTGGGGGGATTCGGTCTTATGGGGAGTGACTGGTTGGTTATGATCCTTGTAGGCCGTTGGCGGCGATGGCGGGGTCCCCGGCGGCGGTCGTGGTGAGGCTCACCGGGCACTCGGCGACGAGCGTGCGGGCGTGCTGTGAGCTCTCCCAGGGTACCCTCTTCTGCCGCACTTGTCAGGATCGCTAGCAAGTTAGTGATCATGCATCATGATATGTCGATTTCATCATCTTATGATACTGTGTATCCGTGTGTACCTATGATCATTTCGTCCAAGATTTGTAATCCTTATATTTGTTCAATTCGTGTTATGCAATGGTTATTTGCATGTGCCTTGGGAGGATTGCTCCTATGTCATGGGCAGCAGCCAAATCATACTCCCTAGTCCCTTCATTCCAATTTGGAATGGAGGGAATACTAGTTTGGGAATATGTCTAGTAACAATGTATTTTCTTGCATGGTTATGTCATGGTTCTGATTCAGACTGATTGTTGAAATGTGGTACATGTCTCCATGATAATAATTAGAACTAGACCGTTGAGTGTTTGAGTACCTTTCCTGGTGGGTTTTGGGTGGAAATGGGTTGCTGTAGCACCTGTGTGCCAAAAATGTGCATTATCACCTACCAGCACTAGGAGCCAGTTGATTGGAAGTGAATTTCAGCATCATGACAAATTGGGGAAATGGAAAATCTTTCTACAAGAAATATATAGGGATTTTGCTTTTGCTCCCACACCCAAATACGGCCATGAAAAAAATCTTCTCTTTTTTAATTTTCTGATCAGGACGGAGGATGGTTAAGCACACAATGTCTCTGTTATAGTGATTTAGATAGTGCTTATTGGTTCTTTACTTGTTTTAATTAATATCTTGCCCTTCTAGAGCTGTTAACCTTTTGATCAATTTTAATTATGTAACTGGTCAAGTTGGTTGCTCTTGCTCATGTTCGGTTTCAACTCTAGCGTACCCCAAGTTTCTTGGGAATAAAAGGCTGTGTTGTTGTTAATTGTGTAACTAACATCTTGAGCTATGTTGACTTCCCTACCCGTTGTTTGTTCATTGACTGTATTGATCATAGCAGTTTGTTGTTTGTCCTTCGTTCCTTTGTTCTTTGTAAAGTTGTTTGACAACTAATACAAGAACTCAAAATTGGGATTTGATAGGCCAAAATGGGAAAGACGGTTGATGAAGAGATGAGACAGAATGATTCGTATCCTATTGCATAAGATGATGTAGGTCCTTTTATTTTCCTGTGTGTTATCTGTGTTAAGAAATTAGAAGAATATAGTATGCACTATTTGTGAGTTTGAGAGATTGTTGTTTCATTGGATTAGTGTATTCTGAGGTTGTGTCCTACTCGTATGTTGGTTTTACTGCTTGAAGTGGGTCTGGGCAGTATTCAAACTTCTAGATAAACCTGTTCAATCGTTTTCTAAATGATATTAGAGAAAATATGCTCTCTTTTTTTACAAAACTGCTTACATCTGTGCTGCACTGCTGGTTTTGATGATGTTTGAAGTTTTCCCAAATGTGCTATTATTTTCAACAATTATGTATGCAACTATAACTATAAGTGAACTTCATAGTCTTGGTGCACTATAGATGTTGGTGATTTTGCCCATTGTTATGTTTATCGATCTCTAAGGTTCGGTGCTAGTACTACTGCACATCCATTATTTATAGAATATTGGGAATCCCTTTGTACTTATGCACATATTTGCATAAATGGTTCACTACTTATTTTATGTGTCCAGGTATTTGCCCTTGCAATACGATTTTGCTGATCTTCTGTTACCAAACTGCATACTCATATGGTCTGCAAGTGTGAAATACACAGTTTTGGTTGTCCCAATACTATTGTGCTGCGTTGCTGGTCAAATTTTAAGACTAAAATGTGCAAGCGATTATTGTATCAATGGTCTCCACATGCATTAGCTCATAATAATTAGTTTTATAATAATAAGATTGATATGAAGATTTTTGTGGTCTGGATCTATTAGGAAATGGCAATGATGCATGATGCTTGGGAAGCAGTTTTAAACCATGGAAAAGGTGCTTCTGTGAAAAGCAAGATATTTTTGTTGTTACTTTGTTAATGTATCTAATCTAATGAAGAAACCATTCATCGAATGCAAACAACTAAAATAAATTGATTGTCTGGGACAACTTGGGAGGCTAAAAGAAACAGTTATATCTTGTTGAAAGTAAAATCACAGAACTTGAAGAGCCTATATCCTGCCATGTCTGTCAAGGTCAATACTGTTAAGTACAGGTTTTTTGTGCCATGAAGTCTGTAGTGTCCTGCATGTCATACTGCATCTAGTCTAAGAACTTCTATCTTCTTTTTCCTTTTTTCCATTATATTTATGTTCTGAGACATCTGCTTGTCCACCCTCCCCACAGTAGCACTACAGATTGACAGTATACCTGGATTATATTGAATGAGATACAACTCCTTTTGTTTTTCTTAGCATGCCCTTCAATGAGTTTGATTTTTTTTTTAAAGAACCAGTATGTGAACGGTTGTTATATTATAATTATTTTTGCATTCTGATATAATTTTTGTATGAATTTAGTGTTTGGCTTACCGTGTCCGATTTATTTTGCAGGGACTTAATGCAAGGATAGGATTATTTGGAGGTTGCATCTTTTGGAAACTCGTCGGGCTTGCGTCCTTTTTCCTGCATTTTGCAGAGTTCTTAGTATCTCGTATGTCGGCAAACGGACATTATACTTGCTGCAACTTATATAAATAATCTTATGTTACCCTGCTATTCACTGTTTCGCATCGATTGGAATTAAGGTTTCATTTTACCTTGTTCCCATGATGCCTCGACGTGTTATCAGATTCCACTGCGTGCTCGTGCTTCTTACCATGTCTGGTGTGTGTTCCTTTGTACGAGCTCATGAAAACAGTGTGCACAAGCAACGGATTTTTATCAGGCAGAAAGATAGTGGTCCTTTGTACTGCGAACTCATGAAACCAGTTGTGCACAATTCAACATTTTCTTTAGCAGCCAGAAAGATGAAGTGTTCCTTGAAACCAGTTGTGCACAACGCAAGAGATTTTTTATGAGCCAGAAAGTTAAGCGTTCCTTTGTACGGGCCTCATGAAACCAGTTGTGCAGAATGCGATAGATTTCTATCTAGATCAAACACTCCACCAGAAGTTACTGACAAATCAAAGCAACATACGAAAATTTACTTACAAGTCAAAGGAGCAGAAGAAGATAGGAGCAGCCCAACACAGTAACCAAACTACACAGACAACATGAACACAACGCAGAGACAGAAAGAGACTTCAGTTAGGCTGCAAGCATGAGCCGGATGCAGGAGCAAGGGCTTCAGCGCAGCAGGACAAAGGCGCCGCGCACCTTGCGCAGGACGTGCACGGTCACCGTCGGCGGCCGCTTGCCATTCATCATGAGCTCGAAGAGGCAGACGTCGTGGCAGAGGAGGCCATTGTAGGCGACGAACTCGCTCCATCCGCGGCCGGTGAGGCCACGGCTGAACCTGTTACGGTTGAATCGGACGTGCCACTTCCCCTTGCTGCCGGCTCTCTCAAGGATGACATCCCTTGAGGTTGTTCCCAGGTACTTGTCCGCGAATTCTGAAGAAATGCCCTGAAAGGCCAACAGAATAAGCAGCAGGTCGAGTTTTTGCCTGGTAGTAGTAATGTCTTTCAGAAGGGAGCCAGGGAGGTTACTTACTACCACACCGGCCTTGATGCTGCGGAGATGGGTCGGGTGCATCACCTGCACGAACACCGGGTTCCTCGGCTCCACAGGCAAACGGATGCTTGAGATCTCCTCCCTCTCCTGCTCCGTCAGATGGTATTTGCTGACCGGCCCGTTCTTGCAGAAGTAGTACCCGGTCTTGGCAGTCCTTTCACTTTCACCACCGTCATGGTGGAGCTCAGCATCATCTTTTACTTCACCATGAACTTGCTCTGCAGGTACATTACATCATATCGTTTCACAGTGATACTGCAAAGTTCTACACAATCAGATACTGATACTCTATCTGTCACTTACCAATATCACGGTAAAGCTTGCGTTTGCAGCGTTTGGGGATGCTCCTGCTGGTACTCTTGTGAAGCGCCAGCTCCAGATGAGTATCCTCATCCTCACCGTCACCGTCATCGGCATCGCTTGGCAGCGACTGCGGTGTGCAGGTGCAGTCTTGGCCTCCCTTGAATCTACGGCAGCCAAGCCGCGGTCCTTCAAGCCCTGCAGAGCTCTCGATTCTCTCGTAGCTATGGCTGCCGTTGTGGGTAAAATGGGGCCATGTTTTCTCGCAGCCGCTCGAATCGAACACGAGGACATCGAAGGAGGACACTCCGGTGTACTTGAAGAGCATGCAGTCTCCTTCGTCGATGCTGTGAGCGCTGACGAACTCCTTCCAGCCAGACTGGAGGACTACTCCATCGGTGTCACTGCCTACTCCGATGTTCCATGTCTTGCCACTTGGGGACTTCAGACTGATGACCTCAGAGATGTGGCCGTTGAAGTTATTTGCAAATCTTGCAGGTATGCTCTGCAACAAAAGAAGTTTTATTTTTTGGTTTGTGACACATTTCTTCATTTGTTTACCCAGTAATCATGCTTAAGCTAAGATTACAATGGAAATGCATGAAGCTAGAAATCCTATTGAGATGCGAATGCTGAAATTTTCTGTACAGCAATACAGCACAAATGAAGAAGACAGCAATATTCCTTTGCATATACCAACATGCACGCCCAAAATAACCCAGAGAAGTCGATTCCTGTAACACATTCAATCACAGATGGGGAGAAGCTAGCGCATGCAAGGGAAGCTTGAGATGCTTTCTCACCATGGTTTCAGTGAAGTCCCCGACCATAGGCTTGAAGAAATGCTTCTTGTCGTCGGCCATGTGGTTCCAGTAGTAATGCTCTTGCCACTCCACGCAAATCCTGCAGTTCTTGTCCAGGTTCTTCATACTCTATAGATCCGGAAGAACAGAGAGAGATTAGCTAGGGAAAAATGTGAGATCACAAAAGCAGAGAGGGAAGTGCTGAATGGAAGCAGGGGAGCTCAGAGACTTCAGGTTCTGCAGTTTTCCTTGGCGTTGAGATAGCATTGAGATACCTCCTGTGGGGATTTCTGAGGCTAATAAATAGATGAAAGCTGGCCGACCAAACTACCAGTTCTTTTATATTTGTTTACATCTATGGTGTTGAGTTATTTGAAAATACTTTTCTTCGAAAAACGCATCATCATTAAACAAGCCTTCGTATGGGGACTTTAACTAATTTTTTTTTTTTTTTTTTGTTTACATCTATGGAGTTGAGTTATTTTTCTCTCACAACAAATTAGTCTTGAACCATATTTTTTCACTTTTTATTTTTTTTTCTCTCCCAATAAATCAGCGAATCGAACGGAGCCTAAATGGTTTGAGATGATTTTCCATATATGACCGTAAACTTTCCTAATTATGAAGTTGCCATGTCCCAGTGAAACCCAATTTTGAGTTTCCTTTAACGTAAATATGCTCACGTACTCATGCATAAAACTCATCTTTAGTAATACACACAAGTACACCCTGCCTATATAGACGCCTCCAAAACACTAGACTAGAAGATCTTGAAATTGACGAAGTGACTCTTAGTTGATAGCCTCTTTGGAACAGGGAAATTCATAGAGATCCTACAAGAATTTGACAAGAATTAATTAGTTAATTTTTCACAAGAAAAATGTATCCCGTATTCTAAAGGGATCGAAACTGCAAGTACGTATCATGAAAAACTGGCCTTTGTTGTTGGGCTTTTTTGCTTTTTTTGGCTTTTTTACTCCAAAAAAGCCCAATCAAATGGACTGTTTTTGGAGTCTTTTTCGAAGCGAATTGTTTTTTCCGTAGTTTATTTTTTGAAAAGCTGGGTTGACCACCTTTTGGCTTTTGACTTTCTGCTTTTTGAAATTGGTGGAATAAAAAGCTTTTCCATAGTTGTTTCAAGAAAATAAAAATAAAATGTATATTTTATACTTGTTTAACTAAATTAATCTTTTCCAACTCAACTATACTTTTCCACACTCATTCTCACAAACTTTTTCTACCAGTACTCAACCAAACAGACTGAAGACTTAACACGAGTATGCAAGATTCACTTGCACGAGTCTACAATTAATCTAGCCAACTGAACTATACTCACTTCTCAAATAAATTAAACTTGATCACTGGTTCACATAGAAGTAGTCTTATCAAAGTGCATTAAACTTGATCAAAGTGCTATTATTTGAGGCACTGGAATCCATTCAATAAGTTTTATAAAAAGTTTGAAAAAGCATATTTCGATTCCATCAAATTATAAAGTTTGAGCGTTTGTTTTATTTGCAGAGGTTATTTCTGCATTGTGTTTAAATCTTACTATATAGATATGCCTTAACATTCAAGTTATTTGCGAAACAATAATTGGCAATTGTATCCTACTATCTACTCCTTCGATCCCTAAATAACTACGGTTGTTGGTGTGCGTGCTCCAAATTTGACTCGATTTGTAGAAAATCCATGCAACATTTGTATCTCGAAATAAATTTATTAAAAAATAGATTCAAAGATCGTTCTAATGATACTAATTATGTACCATAAATATTAATATTTTTAATATATATTTAATCAAAGTTGTTTCTCGAGAAGCGAAAACTGATCGATATTTAGAGACAGAGGGATTATGATCTAATTCTCAACTTTGTGTATGGATGGGGCTAGGGTTCAAAAATTTTTATGAGAAAATCTTCTTCTTAATAAAAAACCAAGGGCCCATCATACCTACGATCGAGTTTTTTTTGTTCTCACCTTTTGATGGGTTAATAAATTTAAAGTTTAACTAAATTTAAATAAAATAATATTATATGAAAACATATTACATAATGAATGTAATGTTTATTCGATGTCATCATAAATATTAATATTTTTATATATATTTAACAAGTTGAGATAATTCGACTTTTTGAAAAATAAGATGCATTTCTATTTTTGGACCGAGGGAGAGTACGCGTTTGTATCAATACTTGACATGACATTTGCAGTAAAGTAGCAAGCGGCAGCAACGACATGTGTGGTAGTGGTTAGGTAGTGTTACCTTTCCCAGGCCCCAAGAGACTACGCATTGAAACTACAAAAGGGCGTGGTATCCGACGAGCACACTGCAAAGCAAAATGGTCTATGCGTGCCTCACACTATTCTCGCAATGTGTATCTTTTTGTTTTGTGATTTTCTTTCTCGGTTGCCTTCGTTAGTCAATTTTCCAAGAATTTCTTTATGGAAAAAATGAACATGATAATGGTACGATCGTTGGTAGAAATGAAAAGTTAGGGCACCTTCAATGATTAAAGTAAGTTGCTAACGGTGCTAGCTCTAAGTCAATTTATAAGTACATAGCTACATAAATAGTCCTATATGACAAATGACATCCTCATATAATTTTGAAATATATGTATCACAGTATCTCTTGATCAAGGGCTAATATTTCTCTCTTTTTATTAAATAATATGAAACAAAGTACTTTGAGCGATCTCATAATTTACTATTGGAGCTAGCCTAAAGATCTTAAGGACATCTTCAACAGTATCAGCTAGCACTAGCTCTAAGCTAATTAATATGGAGAAGAGAGACTACAACAAGCAACCTTAAATATCATGTTGTGAGAGAGGGATGCATCGTGAAAAATGTGAGACTATCTCTTGAGTTCATGGTCTCTTGTCTTTTCCACTATTCAAAATAATTAAAAATAATTGAGCTAGCTCTAAACTAGACCATTGAAAATGCTCTAAGATCTATAACATAGAACCTCATGTGCGCTCACGAGGTCTATCCTTTTGTCTTTTTCTCCATATTTCTTATGTTAATTCTCTAGTACATGTATTTTTCCTATGATATAACTCCTCACCGCCTATACATCCTCACGTGAAGTCACCTACTGTTGGGTATGATACCCGGGGTATCTCAGGACATCAATTAGTTGGCCGCTCGGGCGGCCCACGATGGCCCAACTAGCAGAGGCCCAGCAATCACAACTCGCCTAAGCTACAAAGGCCCTGGGCCACGCACTAAGACAGGAGGTCGACCACGACCGCTCCCTCCTACTTCCACAGTACGCTATGCAGCACCGTGCGGCCACTCCTCGGTCCCCGCCAACCCCTGGAAGGGACAAGTGTGGCAGAACCGCCCAATTTAACCTAATCCCAAGTATACTTGTCAGCCATTTGACACTAAGTACATCAGAGATCAAGTTAAACCCGATAGTCTGTCGAGTACACCCCATGGGAGGACTCTAAAATCTATGTTTTCATTAGGATCATAAACAAGTGAATAAAGCTTGCAATATTCTTAACCATTTCATACATCACTAGTTTACATAAAAATCAGAGTTATCACAAACAAAATTCGTAAAAGTAGTGGAAGAAGGTCATTTTACACAAAAGCAGCAGAAGTTAACAATTTTAAATATTGCAGCAGAAGTAGAAATGGAAGAGTAAAACTTCTACAATCGTGGCGACAAAGGAAGCCTCACTTAGCCCACTAGGAGGTATCCACACACACACATTCAGCTCTAACATCCACCTGTTACCTGCAACAAGGGAAATAAAACCCTGAGTACATAATGTACTCTACAAGACTTACCCGACTAGGTGGGAGTAGTCTCCCGATTCTCAAGGATATGCAAGGGCTATTTGGCTAGCTATTTAGTTGTGTTTTGCACAAAAGCATTACTAATAGTGCATCCTGGTATTCAAGGTTTTAGTAGTCACATCAAGTTTATTACTTAACTATTCTAGGAAAGCACTTCACTACTTTCAAGCATGTGATAAGCAATCAGAATATATTTCATCATCCGACATAAGCCTCACCATCTCCATATTTTAGTTGTATTAACTACGATGATAGTGAAATGACAAGTGGTATCCATATCCGAGGAGGGCAACTATTGCAATCGATGTACATCCAGCTGAGGCAATCCCAAACACATGCCCATACTTCTCTCAAAAGAGCATGTACAAGGCAACCATTCCAACAGTATGACCTAGGCCCTAAATGACCTGACCACCCCAGGGAACCCACCCTATGAGGCCCATCCCACGAACCGGTGATGGGTTTCCCCCTCATAAGTTTGGTCCATGGACATTCCCCTCCCAAAAACAGCTGCTAGAATGGCTAGAGAAACACTCCAGTGAATGTTTGCTCACCTTGGTCATAAGGAAGTACTAAGCTTCATGGTCAACTATAACTCAGGACCATGTTATGTGTTTGGTACCTTCAAACTTGTCAAATGGCCACCAACGAACGGTCCTTAATCAACATAGGCGGGAAAACGGGTGCCCAGAGCCCGGTTCAGCGGCACCCACCAACCATGTAGAAAAACCATTTTCCACTTCCCACCGGTCTACAAATATTATCGAGCATCTTAAGCCCATGTGATAGTAGTAACAATATGACCATCACCTATTTCTCACGAGTGACCACCCACCACTCGACTTCTACTATAAGCCCTATAGCATGGCATCCTACACGATTCCTATCATACTATAACACCCTAAAAATTATATTCTTAAAATAGTGTTTAATTTGAGTATTTATATAATTTTCTATGCATTTTAATCTAGGCCAAAATAATAAATCTTGATTAGTTAAAATTAACTATAAGGTCTAGAAACATGTTTGTTGCATTCATGCCGAGGCATATGATTTTGGTTGAGTGTAGGGATAGGTTGGTTGGGTTTAAATTCAAATTTGATTTAGATTTGATCAAGTTTTCAAGCTTCGTAAATGAAAAAGGCTTCTCTTTTAAACTTTTCTCTCTTTCTCCTTTCTAGCCCAGCACTAGAACCAGCCCAGGCCTATTTTTCTTTTTTTCCGCACCTAGATTCTGGCCTTGGGCCGTTGGCGGCCATCCAGACCGCTCTCCCCTTCCCTTCTCCTTTACACGCACGTGGCCCAGCTCA